AAATATAGACAAACGATCTACATATATACGCACACGATCTTCAAAAGCGACACAACCCAAAATTTGGTATTTTTGAAATAATGCACTAAAGATGCACACAGAGTTTTTATTTACCTTTAAGCACAAGCTGGAGCAAATTTTTGTTATAATTTGTTGAAAAAACTTAAGGTAAAGTCTCCCTTGCCCATATGTTTAACATGTGCTAAGAAATTGTGTAATATTGAGTTGTGTACTTTTGAAGATCGAGCGCGATATGTAGGCAATGACTGAAATATATGTAGATATGGGACTATGATCCATGTCAAATCGACCAATGTTTGGAATCGAACATTTTTGATTTGGATACATTTTGGTCAAAACTATTCTTTTCTCATACAACGAAGTCCTGCCACAGGACAACAAAAGTCGAATGTTCAAAATTTTACAGTTTCCCGAAAAGTTTATTTTCTGAATATCTCAAAACTATTAGATATAGTAGTGCCGGTATCTTTGAAATGTTCAACTTCGGCTGCTTTTTGGCAGCGAAGTTTAAGCAAAGTGCTGTACTAAGACTTTAGTGGTACACTGTAGTATATAAATTTTTGGCTAAATTTGTTTTATACAATAGCTCTAACTGATCTTAAAAGATCCTAAAATTATTAGGATTTTTTTTTAATACATATGAATTTTTGAACGTGGAAAAAACCCAAAATGAATAAAAAAAATTAATTTAACTTTATTTAAGTCGATTTTGAAAAAAAAATAAGTTCAAAAATTGATATCTTCAAAAAACACCTAGATCCAGATCTTTTAAAATCAGTTGGAGGTTATTGCATACAAAAGTTTAACCAAAATTTTACAAGTTTTTTTAACTCACAATTTTGTAAATTTTAGTTTTCGAGTTTTTTATATGTCTACAAATGTATTTTTCTTTATAGCCCTAAATATTACCTTTAAAAGGAGACCAGAACAAATTTTGTAGCTATAAAAGTTTTTGAGATATTCAAAAAATTAACTTGCAAAGTCCTGGAAATTGGGAAATTTTGGAAAAACTTTCAAAAAAACTTGCATTTGTTTCTTTGGCAGAACTTTGTTATATGATAAAAGAATCGTACTGACTAGAATTCATCCAATTCAAAAATGATCTAAAGGATTTGTCGATTTGACATGAATTGAGCCATATATAACATACATATGTATCTATGTATATCCATATGTATGCACTAAAAAATTATGAACAAAAACCTACCTAAAGCGGCTGGTGTAGCCGGCAGAAGCACCACTTGACCGCGACTTGCATCGCGCGAATACTGCAAACCCACTGTTGCTGGAGACATGGAAATCACCGATTCGATAGGTAGAGCATCTAAAGCCATAAGAAAAAGCGAAGAATTTTATTTAATGCGGTAGTAATGAATTAAGCGCACATGAAATATGTTATAATAGCATAAAACAAGGATAGCAATAAGCGATATTCAGAAAATTGCACTCACTTTGATATTGCCAAAATGTGGATGGTGCACGATTGACACTTTGTACACCTGCGGCGCTGAGTGCCAACTCTTCAGCAGTCGCCGAGCCGGCCACTAAATCACCATTGCCTGTGAAATAGATGTTGCTGCAACCAGTACTAACGCCACCTGGAAGGAGAGAAAGTGAAAGAAGAAACAAAAGAAAACATTTGAATTAGTCATTACATAAAACACAAAAAAGTAGTTGAAGAAAATCTGTATAAAACAAGCGTGCAAAGAAAAGAACGTGCGCGCCTAAAAGTATGCTACTACAACACACCTGAGTATGCCAATGCGCCTATAAGTAGACAAATATCGCGGGAAAACACAAAACTAGCACTGCCTCGAATTTCTACACTCCGAATACTGACTAATTTAAGACGTAAGAAAACATACACGAATTCATTTCCGGTTAAATTAAATTGAATACATATGTATGTAGGCCTGCTATCGAGTCCACCAACTTCCAAAAGTCAACTAAATTTCTGGAAATTTACAACGCAATACTTTGCAGATGTATGCACATGAATATCTATCTGCCTGTGTATGTGTGTGTGTGTGTGTTTACGCATCGACCTTGAACTATTTGTTGGAGCTGTAGTTGTTGTTCCTGCTCCTGAAGCTATGCTTCTGCTGCTACTGTGATTCTCATCGATATTACTTACATACATACATACGCACACAAACACACGCACACACATTTATCTTTTACAAAATTCGCCGAGAATTCAATTTGTTGCTTTTGGTGATTTCGTGTTTTTGTTGCTGTCGGTCATTTGGTCAACAACGCTGCACTTTTCCTGCTGCATTCTTATGTTGTCCTTGCCACTCAGGATTAACATTAAACACTAACACGGTTTGCATAATTGTGACTGTACTTTCAGGTGAAACATGCTAGCGATGGGCTTAAATTATGCATGTATGTACATATGTACGTACATATGTATGTATGTAGGTGAGATGCTATTGATGGTGGTGTCATGATGATACGGCAAACATGTCTACATTTGCATGTATGTACATATGTATGTACATATACAAATCAATAAGAATTCCAGATGAGACCACGTGTCGGAACTGCTAACCTTTACGACTTCCAGATATATAACTTTCATGGGCCCGAGGCAAATTATTTCAGATTCAATTTCCACGCCGATCTGAAAAATCTGCCATGAAAGTTAATACAAAATAAAAATTTGAACGCCAGAGGAGGAGGAAGGCTACTCAGGAGTACCCCAGTACACGTTTATAATTTCATCGAAATCGGGCCATAAATAAAGATTCTGACCATAAATATGAATTTTTTGAATAACTCAAATTTAGCGCCATCTAACGCATCCAATTTTCGTAAATAAAATTTCCGTCATACCTGCAGTATGTTTTTAACTTCATCAAAATCGGACCATAAATATAAATTGCCTGAATATCTCGACTTGAGCTTATTCTATGCAACGGGTCTTAGGAATATACGGTCCAAATTAGGTTGAAACCCGTTTATAAGTTTTTGAGTCAAATTTCAATAAAGAAAACGTTTACCTTTTTATATTTGTACCTTAGTAGAGAAAGGCCCTAACTAATTTTCTTTCTTAACTCTGTTTTATACATAAGTCTGCAGATTACAAACCCCATACAATCCTCTTAAATAATAATAGCATCTCTCGCACTGCATATACGCAGACGATTTATATAATATATAGAGAGTGTAAGAAAAAATGCTTAATTTCTTCCCCCAGGATACAATAAACGAATTTTTTACTTAATATTTCTGGTTCCACTAAGTATATCTTCTATTTTGAAATAGTGTGACGTTTAAACAGAATATTAGTTTTCCCAAAAATTGTAGATACGTGGTTAAGGCAGAAATGGGACGATATCCTATGTAATATCAAAAACGACAAAAAATCCAATCAGATTATCGAGAACACCCATAAAGATACATGGACATTAACATCAGGATCGAAAATATCCTTCGACAAAACCAAAAAAAAACTACACATCTGCAAAAAAACACCAAAGTAACGCACACCAACACAACATAGCCCTACAAACTAATACTATTCAAAACGTCGAAGAACACCGAATTCTGGGATTAATATTCACCAAAAACTACTACTGGAATCGCCAATACTCTACTCTAAACAAAAGCACGACGGCCTACAGTAAACCTCATTTCATATCTCTCATCCAAAGGATATGTGCACGTTAACACCCTCCTCACACACCTCATAAAAACAATAGTTATCAGCAAAATTGATTATGTTTTATTTCTTTCCGACTTAGCTTCAAAAACTAGTCTTAACACCATAAAGAGCACATATCACAAAGCTATCATCAGAGTGGCCCTTTTCGCCTTGCGCACTACCCCACAAAAAAATTTGTTGATTGAGTCTGGCCTACAAAAACTTGAAGAACGCATAGATACTGTTCGAGCTAAACTGATTCCAAAAAAAACTCTTCCAAACAAACTCAATATAGACAAAAATGCGAATAGACTAGTGTCAAACAAGAGAGCTCTAAGGACTACCCCAGTAATATCAAGAGTGCTACAACTCTGTACCTAATACAAAATTGTACCAAAATTTCATGCAATCGATAATCACAATCGTCCCTGGAAAATTAATAAAGGCGTCAAGCAACCTGTCGTTAAATAAATATGAAATGGGCATCACCACTAATTCCACCTTTAAACAACTCATTCTACAAAAAAACAACCGACCTCAAAAGGCACGGATGGACTATCATTTACACAGATGGCTCCAAAACAAACTCCTCAACAGCGTTTATTGTTATGACCGAATCTGGCTCTTATTTAAGTATGAAGCAAATGTTTCATCTTTTCCCAATATTTTCTGCAGAAGCAACCGCCATTCTATGTATCTATAAAGAGGAAAACGTGGTCATATGCTCTGATAGCTTCTCAGCCGTACGAGCGGTGAGAAATCCCAACTATAACAACTGGGAAACCATCAACAATAGATATACTAACAAGTAATTTTTAGCAAAAAAAAAACCGACTTAAAAAAAAATATATATATATCTATATATTTCATGATCCAATGATCGGATCTAAACCAAATTAGTATGGGACCACCTCTGAGACACTACCTTTCCGTTGCAAAAAGAATTATTGAAATCGGTTGACGTGGTGCAAAGTTATGCGGTAACATACATAAAAAAAAAAAAAAAAGATTCCGACGAACTGATAACCTCCTCCTTTTTTGGAAGTCGGTTAATAAATGGGAAATTCGCATGTAAGGCACCCATCATTACCGCTACAAACATGGAAAAAAAAAACTGAAATAAAACAACACATTCGCCAAAACCTAAATGAAAAATCAAAAACAGAATTCTAAAACTACCAACACCCGAACTACTCAGCCAGCAACAAAGATCTTATACCTCCGCAATAAACCCACTAATGTAAACGGTTTCAAAATCAAGATATTTTCTCGACTCCGTCTTGGGCACACGACACAAACACATGTATGTATATCTCCTAAAAAAATAAAGAAAACCAAACACTCTACGAAAACTGCAGCTCACACCAAACATTGCAACACATCCTCAACGATTGCCCTCTCTATACGAAGAAGCAAAACCAACAATACTCGACTCACAGAACATTACGGAAATACTCGTGATTCCCACCAGCACAAACATAGAAAAAAAAGGAAAATAGGTTTGTTAAAACTATTGATCTAACTATTTAATCACTAAAACTACGTGACGCACACATAACTATAAACACAGCTCATTCTTGCAACATGGAGCTGATGGCCTCGGTAGCCAATGCTCACATAAACTATGAGGTTCTTGTTATTCATATCAGTACTACATATATAATAATAATAATAATACTCGCCAAGGAGCAAAAATAAATTTAAAACAACTATTACATCATTAAATTAGTTTCAGTGTTTATTAAAACCCTAGTGCTTTGATAAAGTTATCAACTGAAGAACATTGATTTTTATAAAGTTTAATAACTAGTCTGGGCGTGTGGGAGAATATCTTTGGCCTAACGAGTTGACTAAACTCCCCAAACAGGGCGAAGGTATGTGTGTTTCCACCTGGCTTTTGGTATACTACAAACTGTATGATTAGATCAAACTTTGATTGCGTTTTCCCACAAAATTGGAATTTTGGAATAATTCTATATATTGTTCTAAGCTTTAATAATATATAGAATTATTCCAAAATTCTACACTTAATTTAGTATACACTTAATTTACGTAACGTAACCTAATATGTGGGCCAACGCAATATATTTTTGTTCAGGAAGTTTTTCATCCGCCTTATAGGCGGTCAAGTGATAATCAGCTAAAAAGGAAAATACAAAAACTAAATATTTTCGCGTCTGTCTAAGTTGACGTGTTGAGTAACCATTACGTTTGTTAAGTTAAGTCTAGACTAACTTTGAGTATTTGTTTGACATCCACAGTAGATTTAATCTTTGAAGAATTGTGACAGAATTCACATAAGATTACATGACCACAGAACAGATTTCAAGACTTCGAAAATTGGAAGCTTCTTGAAGCCCGTTCGATCAAGTCATCATCCAATTCACTCTAAAATCAACTACGATTTCGTCTTCTCCCTATTGTAATGAAGTTTTTTCTATGCACATACATTGTTTTTTAAATAATATATAAATTCAAATAAAGAATGTTATTAAAAATATTATACATACATTAGAGTGTATCACGCTTTATACAAAAAAAATCGATTCTACTTTTCTGTATAATATTTATTATATTTTAAGACTTCCGCCAACATATTTCGGAAAAACTTTCAGATTTATGTGAGCTGCACCGATTAAAAAAAAAAAAACCTCCAAAAATCGACATTTTATACTTATGTAAATGAAAATAGTATTTGAAAATATTGGAAAAAAAAAAATCATTCAGAGATAGAAGAGCTTAAGCTTAGAAGGTCAGCATGAAATTGTTTAAGCATCAAACAAGAAGAAAAAGAACATGAAAAAAAAATTGTTCAATGTTTGAAAGAAAATAAATTAATACACCCAGCAAACACAGTTTCAAACGTTTGAGAAAAGTTTATTTCTCAATTTGATCTCAAATGATTCTTTAATTGAAAACGTTATTTACATGCAACATTTGAAATTCATTTGACATTGATTTGAAGAAACGTGTAACGTTATAATCATCGATACATTTTACTAAGAATTGTAAATCTCTTAAATCTATGTGAAGTGTTACGTGTTAAATAAAAAATGGTAAGAACAGTATTAAAGTCATTTGAAAAAAATAACAACGAATAGAAAAAATAAGTAAAAAGAGAACACAGACAAATATTGGAATTGATGTTTGTGCGGGGTGATGACTCCAGCGAAAAGTCTACCGCGTAAAAAGAAATTAAAAGTCATATATCTAACTTAATTATAGAACGATTTTGCTGCTATTTATAATATATAAAGCAGAAACATTTTTGCCAAAAATGGCCTTGTTAGATGGCGCCAGGGTCGATATATTTTTCAAACCCGTATTTATGCTCTGATTTCTTTCATATTTTGCTTGTTTAGTTGAAACGTATCAAGACATAGGTTTACACAAATTGAGCTGCTGGTGGCGCTGATGTCAAAATAAAAAGTACGCGTTAAAATTTCTTTCAAAAACAATATTAACAAAACTTTTTCAATGGAAATTTTAGTAACACAACGCCTGGTAACGTCGTGTCAGATAGTTCAGCTGGTTAATTTTTTTTTTTTACATTTGGCCATACGAGCGTCACAAAACGCCAGTTGGAAATACGCCCAGCCAGAACATCCAGCTGCAGCCGTTCAAGACGAATTTATTAGTGCTTAAAATATACATTCCATATAATAAAAAGTGTATTTCCACATTTGATAAATAACCTTTGAAATTGATTTGAGAATTAACCATATTCTCAAATAGAGATGAAATTCCGCTTTTCATTGAGAAAGCTGTAATTTTCAAAACAATATCAAATCATTTTCAAACGTTTGACATTTGAGTAAGTGCCTTGATTTCAAATCATGCTGGGTAGTGACTCAAACGAGTGACCACGTGTTGATTTTTTTTTTTAATGTGCACAATATTTTCTAATTATATTTTTTTATATAAAAATATTGTCCATCTCTTAACCAAAAGCAGTTGAATCAAAGTTTTAAAACTTAAGCAAAATTTATATCAAAATTTTAATGTTTTCAATTTGAGTTTCTTTAACATTTTTCGGGATTCAATTTTAGTTTAATGCAGTGCAGGTTTCAACGCGTTGATTTTTAATATATGTTTTTTTTTGACGAAACAACAAAAAACAATA